CTCGGCTTTCGTGTTCTTGTGTTCAAATGTACAGTCTACATACATATATACATACAATCTTAATTGATAAAAAAAAAAAACTTTGTCTTAACCCTCTGCAGTTGTGCGTGCATTACTTCATTTCTTTTTGAGTTTTTTCATCAATATCCACTAACACCCCAACAACTTTCATTATTAGTAATGAGCACATTGTTTTGCGACTCCGATAATGTATACAGGTTGTTTCAAAACACTCAAAAATGCCAAATGAATCACGAAAAATGAGTACGCCTCCGAGTAAAAAGTGTGGCCCCACAAAATCCGGCGGTAGTCCAATGTCAAGTGCTGCTTCCTGCCAGTCTTGACATTAGTTTTCTGAGGAAATACAGTACTGAACTTGCTACTACAACGGTTTCATCGAAGTTCGTAGTGGACTAGCGTGACCGCAGAGGATCTCACTCTTCCACAGCGTGTGAATCATTTGGTCAGTATGGGATCCGCCCGCAACTGCCACCTCCCTTCCCTTCCACACCATACCCAGAGGAAAGCCTCCCTCTGATTTGTAGACGTTCCGTTGTTTTGGTAAAACATGCACACTCCTAGCATCTTTCCGCAGCAGGAAAATTGGTCTACCAGTAATGAAGAACGTTTGGGGAATTATGACTGATGCGACTCTAACTAGACTACGTCTCTAAATCTGTACTCGTACTTCTCTGTTCCCTACTCCATCCTGCTGATACTACAGCCCCGTTCTGGAACTTCCAAAAGAAGATTTTGAAATTCAACGAGAAAGTCTAAAAGTCCGAGAATCCGTTTCTGAAGGTCTTCCAAAAAATCTCTGGACCTCGTAAGACCTTAGTTCCCCCTGCCGAAAATGCAGTGTCATTTTCAACCAATAGGACTCTACCTGCCCTCAAGGGACAGAGCCTCTATAAGCATTCTCGACGCTGGCTTGCCCTGGCATACCCAGTTGCAGTTGAAAGCTCACGCGCGACACTTGAAAACCATTCCTAGTTATTTAGCATGCACTTTTTGCTGTTTCAGTTTATAAAGTAAAAAGTTTATCAAAATGGTGGACCAAGAAGAAGCTATTTTTGGCAAGCAAAGCGAACAGTGAGTCTTGCTCTCATGGACTGCAAATTCAAAAGGTAGTGAAGAACAGAGGTCTTCACAAGGAGACCCTTGGGGGAGCCGCTTCGAAATTAAGCTTCTTCTTGAATGGCTCTGGTGTCGGTTTCGGGACATACGTAAGGCGGACACCAATGATCATTTTGATTAAGCGGCTATAGGAATGGCAAATAGAGAGAAAATGGTTTAAGGTTCAATCCCACGTGGTGTCTAGATTTGGCTCGTCTCGGCTTTCGTGTTCTTGTGTTCAAATGTACAGTCTACATATATACATACAATCTTAATTGATAAAAAAAAACTTTGTCTTAACCCTCTGCAGTTGTGCGTGCATTACTTCATTTCTTTTTGAATTTTTTCATCAATATCCATTAACTCTCCAACAATTTCATTATTAGTAATGAGCACATTGTTTTGCGATTCCGATAATGTATACGGTAGTTTTGAAACAAAAAATGCCAAATAAACACGAAAAACGAGTCGCCTCCGAGTGAAAGTGTGGCCCACCGGCGGGCCACACGGTCGTCAAAGGGTTAAAATAAGCTCTCATATATCCCCCTCAGAAGAGTCAACATCTTTGGCTCTAATTTTGCTTATTCGCTAGCTTCTTTGTAAAATAGCAATATTATCTGCAGATCTGTTAAGAAAACAAAATAAACAATTAGTGAGAAGGTCCCAGCAGGTGTTGATTTGAAGAGATTTTGAG